TTTTTTATTATTTTTAAAGCATGTAACTGCTTGATGTTTAAATCTAAAGAAAATATAACTAGAAAAAATTCCACGCGGACCAGGCAGCAGACGGGACTCGAACCCGCACCCTTCGCAATCCGGGCGAATGCACTGACCAATTATGCTACCGCGGCCCTCACGGACCGCGTCGAAATTCCTTCTAGCTATTCTTAAGCTGCAAGGCAGCGCCATCTCTTCGCATTATAGGTAAACCCACAATGTCAAATGAATACTTTTACAAGTATTAAACATTTGAAAGAAGAAATAGCAATTATAGTTATAATTTTTTTTTATTATTTTTAAAGCATGTAACTGCTTGTTGTTTAAATCTAAAGAAAATATAACTAGAAAAAATTCCACGCGGACCAGGCAGCAGACGGGACTCGAACCCGCACCCTTCGCAATCCGGGCGAATGCACTGACCAATTATGCTACCGCGGCCCTCACGGACCGCGTCGAAATTCCTTCTAGCTATTCTTAAGCTGCAAGGCAGCGCCATCTCTTCGCATTATAGGTAAACCCACAATGTCAAATGAATACTTTTTCTAGTTATATTTTCTTTAGATTTAAACATCAAGCAGTTACATGCTTTAAAAATAATAAAAAAAAAAAATTATAATGTTTTCATGTTTGAAGTATTAAAATGGAACTTCACCTTTCCAATATCTGTATCTTTTAACACTTCTTTGTTTACTTACGTTTTTGTTCGTAACTTATGTTAATGTTTAAATGTATTGAAATAAATGTCGCAATACATAGCACCGCTGGGCGCTGCCACCATTATAGTAAATGTTTTTCTTCGCGCTAACAACCACAACAAGTTACCCATGTTTATTTTTAAATGCAAATGATGAGTTGTAAACCTTTAGTAACGCGATGGAATATTTCCAGTTACTTATATAGTGTTTTTCTTTTCTTATGGCAAATGTTACTTCAAATTTTTACATTGAGTCATGTTTTTAACTTGCAATTAAAGAGTCACTGATTCTTTTTTTTGTAAATTTTAGAATGAAGTATTGATCAATAGCAATATTGTAAGTGCCAAGTAGCAATTAGGATTTTATTTACAAATTTTGCGCCGTTTTAGGATATTTTGTAGACGATATAAATAAATATTTTTGGATGGGGTGTAGTACGTTTACTGTTTGTAACTGTTTGCACTATTTTTATTTAAACGCTTATTTGGTCTGAGTTTAAACGATTTTTAAGTTTCTCGGATAACTCAAAATTCAAGGTGTATAACTAGGTAATTGGTACCTTTATTTTGAAACAAGTTAGGTAGGGTAGGTACTCTAATTATTCGCTGTAGTCGTGGCGCCGTTCAGTCGTATAGTATTCATAATAAACATTATTAAATCAATATTAGGTAACACTTATAAAAACATTACAAACTATGACTAACACCTACAGCGATAAAGTGTGTACGAACAACTATTCAATATTAGATTTAGAACAATAGACACGATGAGTCAGATTTTGTCACATTAAAATTTTATTTACCATCTAAATACTGACTACCTATTAAAAGTATTAGGTAACAAAAATATTCGTTTCAAATTCCGCTGCTCCTAACATATGACGTATTGCGGAAGAGGATTTACGATGGCCCCTTTAAAAGGATTGTTTATATAATCCTGATTTTTCATCTTCAACTAAACTACTAAATGTTTTGTTTTGGTTTCGGGCACAAAAGTGACAGTTCAAACCCAGTTAAGTGGTTAAGCCTTGCTGTCCGTTACTTTTCGCTGGCTTAATCTCATACACCGTATTTGAGATAATTCTTTTTAATATAAATATTACAAACCAAACAATGGCTATATATTCTTCAGGCGCACTAATTTGAGCAGATAGTGCATGCCACCGTTTTATTTTTCAAAATTTTCTTTGAACCAATATCAATGTACTTGACAATAAACTAGCTAGAATAATGCCGGTCAGGGTTGTTGAACTTTCATAAAGTGAACTGTGATATCAATTTTAGTGCATTCAAATTTATCCTAAGCAAACAACATCGAACTCGGTTGTAATTTGTCACATTTAGTAGGTACATAAGGAACAAATCAACTTTACAGTACCGATAAAAACAAAAAAAACTACCTATAAAAGACACGAAATATTCATGGACTATGTAAATTGTCAACCTCAAATAAGTACCTATAGGACTCGTATAATGTTATGGAACAAGAACATTAGAAATATAAGAAAGAGCTTTTATGTAAGGGGTACTTATTTTCGAAAATCAGCACAAACGGTTTAACCTGTTGAATTGGTTTTTAGAAAACTCACTTGTTGAGGAAAGGTGATGTTTCCAGGTAGGTAGTTAATAATGTTGGTATTTTGTCCAAAACTTACATGTTTCCTAGATTGCCCCGTCTAGTATAAAGTTTCTGCACCTTGTTAGTTTTTTTGTATGTCTCTACTAGTTCAATAGGGTAATACCTACTTAGGTAGGTAGTAATTTGAGCCATTAGAGAATATATAAAAAGTGTTTATCAATACTTATAAATACTTTTGTTACTTGGGTGATGACGCGGCTACGCAAATGTGAGTTGTGGGGCATTTACGCGAGCAGTGACTCGTTCTCGATAAGGGGTCAAATGGAGACCCGCGCAGGATGTCTCCACAAAAGCCGCGACTGTCCGCCCGCCTGCGCCGGTCCGTCCGTCCGTCTACTATGAGTACTTACTGCATAACTCCACCTCGACGCTGTTAGTTTGAAGTAATTAGTTTTACAGTTCACAACGAACATCTGTGTTATTATAGAGTATTTACTTTAGAATGGGGCCGTGCTCGTACCTAGGATTTATTGCATGCGGTCATGTAATGGGATTGTCCATAATCAAACTCAATGCTCTAAAGGCATATAATAAAATCAATCACAGTCTAATAGAATTGAAGTGATTGTTCCGAATTTGGTACGAACTCAATCCATACTTACACGTAGTCAGAGTAATAAATATCTTCCAATTCATCATTCCTTTTTCATTGTAGTTAATTTTATCGAATTTTTTACTCTGTACGACAAAGCTGTGGAAACATTGTCACCAACAGCATTTCCGACCAAAAAAACCTTCAAATAAAGAGTATACTCCTTCCTTGAAGGCCGGCATTGCATTTGTGGATACTCCTGGTGCTGCAGGTGATGGGCGGCGGTAATCACTTATCATCAGGTGAGCCGTCAGCTCGTATGCCCCTATAATATAAAAAAAAGATTTTTGGTATGTAACTTATTACTTGAACGCGAATTTCATGCACTTCAAACAGTCAGATTGAATTTAATAACTATGTTGGACACTCAACAAGAACAAACGTAGGTAATAATGTGATAATCATCACCATAATTAACCAACAAGATTACAATGTTAATAACAACACCAAACCACACATCTTGATTCTCGCGTAACCAGTTCAACGAGCAGACTTTATGCAACCAATACTTAGGGAGTGTTAGACTGTAAACTCGACTGGTAACCGAATGCGTTATTATTTAATGTCTACATTTTGGGCTAACTAACAAGTATTTTGTGGCTTTAGTTGTGTATGAATTTATGCGCTTGTCTCGAGCCAATTATCTGTTGTGTGCTAAGTAACGTAACAAGATGGCATCGCTCCTGACCAACGCTCAAGGGTAATAATAAATAAATAGTTTTATGCAGGTGTACTGGTGTATTCGTGTATCAGATGAGGCCAGGAAGCGATGTGATGATGCCTGCAGCTTTCATAACATTTTATAATAAAAGCAACGCTATGATAATTGCTATACAACGGATGCTCGTGTTTAACTCCAGTAAGCTCGGAATATTGGGAGCTCGGTCGTTCTGTCACCGAAATTAAATATTATACAAATAAAATTTGTCTCTAAATTTTAAGTTCCTTTGTTTATTTATTTTCCTGGTGTGTTTATATACATTTATATGTATACAAAAGATTATAAGAGAATTCATTCTTTGAGGATTGTGACAGCTCTATGATCTAGTAGAACTGTGGTCAGTTATCTAATGCAACGAGCTTTTTGACGCAACGTAAGTACGTACATGAATTACGAGGCAATTTATAGGGATTACGTTATTGACAGCGAAGTGTCTCGTATAACTTTAGTAGTACTTAGTAAAAGTGTTCATAAAACAACAGTACAACACACCTGTTACAATACTCTGATCTTGATAAATTGATCTTAAAAAAAGAAAAAAATCTTTAGATTTTAAAATAGTTTAAAATACTTCTATAAGAATAAACATATCAGAAACCAACCGATATATAGCAAACCTCAAAATATATTTCGACTCTACGTCTCATCAATGGCTCTGCATCATTGACTTACTGTAAATGTTATAAGCAATCATAGAAAATTACGGTTGCTAAGTAGTAGTAAGATATCTTTTGAATTTTACAGTATTAATAATAATAATAATAACTTTATTTATTTTTCTCCAACAATCTACATGTTACATCTTATAATTTAAACAATATTTGTATATTTCATAAGATTGCGAGAGACTGGTACCTGAACTAAGCTAAAGCTTGTATCTCAGTGCACCAGTACCCTCCTCTTCGTAAGGTGACCGTTTTATCATAACAAAGTAAGTTTCTACATATAAAAATACCTGTAGAAGAATATATAATATACCACATATATCCAAATAATGACTTCATTGACAATGATCGGTACTAGTATTACATATAACGTGAATAAAACAGGACAAATACTATTTCCCTAAACTGTACCTAATTCTTGCTTATCACAAAACTATTAACTTGTATGTACCTACATACACGTGACGTGTCCCCTTTGTTGAATGTCAATAATTATAATAACGCAAACAAATAGTCAAAAGGAATCAGAAGTCGAACCATCAGGTCGCGCAGCCGCAAACATACGCGATTGAGTCACATAAGCGTGCGTCACAAAAACGCGCGCTGACTCACACTGGCATGCTTCTCAATCACATACTCATTTATATAATGTTTTTTCCCCATAGGTGCTACCTGCCGATTGAATCATCGAGGCACCAGGCTAAGGAAGGACCAAGAAACCCCGCGAATGGCGGAAGCAGCATCAAGAAACGTAAAACCAATTAATTATTGAAAAATACAAAATGTAATGACTTCCGATGCTGCCAGTTCGCTGTTGGGATTTTGTTTATCAGTGCTTCATATCGATGTGCCTAAGCATCCATTTACAAGTCTGATCGCGGTCCGAGCCGCTACCCATTCCACTGCCTGTGATCAACACTTGTGATGGGGAAATCGTTCTCGTCCGGTGTTCGCGTCGCAAATAATAGCTAACTAGATTACACGTATACTGTAGTGTGTTTAGAAATTATGAGTATAGTGTAACATCTCTGTGATATTTTTAACGATTAAGTAATAATTAATGATTCATGACGGTGTGTTTGATCAGTGGTTCACTGTTGACACTGACGCTGCAGAATATACAGCGCGATTAAGAACTTTACTCGTACGCTTTAAGAGTGTGATTATTGAATGAGATCTTAACAAAATGGAGATTCAATTTGTATTAACGAGTTCTTCATTTGATGATGATGTCATGTAGAAGAAAATTATTTGCAATTGTTAAAGAGAAAGGCACCGTGAATGTAGAGATATATGTTGATGTAGTGAATTATATGAGCGTGTGTGTGTTTGTGTGTGTGGATCTGTGGCCGTGGGCAGAATCTCCAGTTCCGATCCGAACAAACGGAACGCTCGCTTCGCGTTGTCGGATAACGGGTTTTTAAATTCGAACTCTGACACATAATATTGTACCCATTAGAACCAACATTGATTGGCTCTCATATTTTCGGTGTTATACTTAAAAGGATCATTCTTAGCTTATTGCATCTCTTCACAACGATTATGTTTAATTAGAAGTTCGGCTTTTTTTTGTGGGTAGGAAAATATACGTACTACGTTGCGTTCACCTAAAATAGCCATCATCGATAAGTTCCTACATATTTTATTTTATTTAAATTATTTTTTGATGTACCAATTAAAGATGATGGCGTCAGTATTTTGAAATTATTTCGATAAGTGATCGGTTACTCGTTAATCATTAAATTGGTTAGTCTGATACTGATCAGTGAACATTTGCCAAAATTGTTTTCAAATATGTAAGTATAGCTAAGGAAAAGCAGGCTATAATTAATTTATGTAAGAATAGGTAAATTATTATCAACATTAACAGTAGGTTTACTATTATACGCTAATAAGTGATTAAGGATAGGAACAAATTCTTATCCGTTCCATCCGGTTAGTTCCATTAATTACAAATAACAAAATTGTTTACCACTCTGCATTTGTTTTGTATACAACTAATAGAAACAGTATTGAATTTATATATCTTTCTTGTTATTTACTATATTATTATCATCAGATAGGTATTTACTAATTATGATAGTATTATATATACGCACAAGTTACACCGACACAATAATTGGTACTGATTATCTTCACCAGTCTAAATCTAAATTGTATGAGGTGCAGTTATTATAATTATTTCATAAGATTCAAGACATCACATAATAGCATAAGTTTCGATGCATCTCATTTTAATATATAATTGTTCATAAATAATTTATATTATATAAATCTAACACCATAATACCTATTAATAATAATTAAATATGACTGAGTACAGTCAATAAATAGAAATTTGAATAGTTGCGCATCAGAACTGTCTGTATTGCTTATTTTTGTAAATAATAATTAAGTAATTATTTTAAGCTAGTCAATAAAATTTGATGATTAAATTGATTGTTTTATTGAACGCTACATTAATGATGACTCGAATATGATGTGATTGTAAATGGAAAAACTGAACTTTGATACAATCACGAGTGGATGTCTAACGTGTCTAGAACCTACAACTCCAGTACATCTAACGAGGAGATAGGGCATAGCGGAACTTCCGGTCGAATTTAATAACCTGTCCGAGAAAATAACCTACACTAGTGATGTTGGATGTTGCGTTTCTGTTGGTCAGGTTCCCGCTTCACCGCATAGTTCTTCATCATCAACTATCTTCGCAATTATCTGGACTATAGGAAAAAATATTCTGTTAGAAATAGTAGTGAAACTGCACTGAACGTTATTTGAATTTGTTGTCGTAGGATGACATGTAAAATAGATTTTTCGCGAAAATCCTAGACATCGTTCAATCTTAATGTTAACAAGAGCCCAAAAACGATTTTTTCGTTATCTTCCGGCGACTAGCGTTTTCGCAAAAATCCTATCTTATTTCAGTAAGATTGAGAAATGTCATCGCCATTTTCTAATTATCCCTGTTTTCGCAAAATCCGTAGAATTTTCGAAAAATTCGATTTATCCAAAGCATCCTACGATATCTACATTCTATCAAAGAGAAAAATCTTATGGTCAGTTCATACGTAGAGACAAAGCGCATTTCAGAAACGTAACAAAGCAAACTCACAATTATCTCGACAACGTTAAGTATTCACTCTGAGATAGGATATCGCGTGAATTCAGCTGATATCATGGCATCGCCGCTCAAGGGTCAATTTGCTATGTTACTGTTTCCGAAATAATTTCGACTCTGCGCTCGTATGAAATGACTATTAGAATAAAGATGCTCTTAAGAGTAAAAATTTAGTAAAATTAATAATCTCACATGGTGGTTCCAACACTATTCATTATGTATTGAAGTAAAGGTTAGATCATCATCATCATCATCAGCCTATTAATATCCCCACTGCTGGGGCACAGGCCTTCCCTATGGATGGAATAGGGAGATTGGGCAATGACCCACCACGCGAGCCTAGTGCGGATTGGCGGGTGCTAACGACTGCAGATGCTCCCAGCTGCATCTGCTTAACATAACATCCAACGGCTTAACATGCCTTCCGAAGCACGGAGGAACTCGAGATAGATGTTTTTGGTCACCCATCCAATAACCGACCACTGCGAAAGTTGCTTAACTTCAACCATCGCAGCCGAACACGCTAACCACCTGCGCCATCGAGGTCAAAGGTTAGATATTTATAATAAAATAGGAAAACGAGATAGGTACTTGCTAGCGCAATATTTAATCAGTGTGTGTAGTTCAGCAACTCAAAGGCTAATTTATCAGATGGATAACCAAAAAGACTAGACTAGTAAATCTGGGACAAAAATATCCTACATGTCCCGTTATGGGACATGATAAATCGGAATACTTAGTGGATAGGTGGAAAATATATCAGACTGGCCTGTGTAGTGGTTCATGGCCTGTTCTCGCTGCGGTTGTTGATAATTCAAACTTGGCTTTTTCAAATTAAACACCATTAGAAACATTGGTAAAGCTGAAACAGTTCTATTAAAGTACATACCTAATCAGTGGCCACTCACCCACATTCAAGATAATGTGAGATTTTTTTTTTTAGTTATTTACAACCAGTAGGCCTATTCGCTAACTGCTTTTAACAGATGGAAGTGTTAATCACCGAGCTATTTAGTGATTCACTACTGCTTTATTATTTAACGCCACTGAGATACTTGATCTGAAAAACATAAATGGATATGCAATTTTCTCTTCAGTTACACATTGTAAATGTCAAAATAGTTAGTGAATAGGCCAGCTGGAATCCAGCCAAAGTCAAGCATGGTGTTTAAATGCCAGACTGCATAATCGTACAATCTAATATGCAAACACCATTCTACGCAGAGTCATTTTGTTGCATTCGTAGGTCAACCCTAGTTAGTTTCATATAACTCGTGCCATTAAAAAAACGAAAGAGATTCTGTCTCTCTAGCACGTTACTAAGGATAGCATGTGCGAGAGGGATAGAGCGTCTTATGTCGTCATCTGCGATTCGTTTGTTTATTGGCGCGAGTTATACATGTATTAGTATAACCAAACAGTGATACAAGGGAAGGCGAGCCAATGAAACGAAAATGTCCAAAATTAAATAACTTCTTTTATTTCAGAGTCAAATTTGTTTCCTACATAAACTTGTTAGAATGACAGACGCCGCAACATTAATTGACCATTAGACTAATGGTACGCGCCGTTAGCTGTTAGCTCAAACATGGTGCAATTGGAGGGCCGGTGACTTTATTTGTTTAATGCGCGGGGTCGCGCGTCGCGCTAAAGGGACTAGATATGCACACATGTGCATCGCACATATCGCTCCATATGCGGCCGCTTTAATTAGCCACCGATCATTGGTCACGTATTTATATCTCCGGGACATCCGTAATCGAGTGACGGTTAGCTGAGAACGCGACGCGCGATCCACGCGCTACACTACACGAGAACGACTATCGGTTTTAATACAGACTTTAATATTAGAATAATATAGATTTTTTTTATCTTTTATCAACTATGAAATTATGATCACAAATACCCATGAACCAAACGACGACGCCGACTCGAACGGTCCGCAACTCTCGAAGGTATTAACAACTACACACTCCACTACCGAGCTACGTTGCCGACAGGCAAGCACCATACTTCCCGGCAACATAGCCGATGATGCCGAACGCGTCTCTACTACCCAATGTCACGAACACCTAATTTTAATCAATAATCAACAATTATCGCCCACCTCTAACACTACACGCTTTTTACCGTACACGATCAAGTGGAAAAATAAGTTTTGATCCATCATCGAAATCATCGTAACATCTCCCATGCGCATACACATGGCAAAACAAAAAATAAATTCAAGGCAAAACGCAAACGCAGGCCGGGAGAGGTGGCGGCGGTACTTACATACTAAGCTTTAGAGGCGACACGTGAGTGTCCCGGGAGCACTCGCCTCGCCTCCCGGCCGCGCTCACATAGCTCATTGGAAACACTAATCTTCATATGCTTATAAGAACACTTCATAAAACAGCTTTTTATATTATACTACACAATTTACACATTTATAATAGGTTTACATTTTTACACAGCATAATAATTGTTTTTGTAGTCTTCATAATACTATATTCTATATACTCCCCGATCGCTAAATATTGTCGCATATTTAAGCATGTTTTTTCCATTAATATTGACACCTACTGGTTCTTACGAGTCAGAATACTTTTATACCCATAGAATACTTTAAACCGCCTTCTGATCGCCCTGCTTCCTTCTACGTGCAAAATCAACTCTTATATAATATTAAATTCAGAAATAGTGTTCCGAAATTATTGTTTTAAAACTGAATGATTAGTAACTAAAATAAACGGTAAGTAGCCAAATACGCAACTAAAACCACAAAATAGATAGTACAGAAGGTAATCTCATGTGTGTACCTCACATTTTTTACTGTCAATTTTGCTCGTGCACAAAATGGTAATGGCACTCGTATGTATCTAGTTGTTTGATTTATTGTTGAGAATGAAACACATACCTTTACTAAAGTACACATTTAAATTTTCATGTTATTGTTATATCAGGTGCAAATTAAAAAAAATGTATATTCGCCGTTTAATGTTGAATTCAAAAACCGTCAATTGAAGTTATAATATATTGTTGCTCCATTTTTACACAAAAAAGTTCACAGACGCGTGTCTCAAGCGGATAAAACTCGCACTCGCACTGGTCCCAAGCGGTCCAAGATATCGTGTCCGTGAATGTTGTCTATGCGTGCGTTGCTCGAGCGCACTTTGTATGTAGATTACTTTCTGTACTATCTATTTTGTGCTAAAACTAAGTTTCAAACTAATCTAAAATTCTTTTTTTTTTAACAATTTGATGGACATTGCTCATAAGTGTTGGAGGATTCACTCTGACAAACCAAAGTACAGTTACAAACAATAATCTATAAATGCTGACAATATTGTCTTTTGTCTGGAATGACACATAGAACATTTTTTTTCTTAATAACTTTTCAAAACTTCAATTAATACAGTTTATAAATATATGAGAATTTCAACGACTGATCACAACAAAACATCAGACTCTTTAAAAAAACGAGTAAGTTAAAAACATATTTTAGAAAAAAAAAGACAAAATTATGGCAAAACATTGGCGAAGTGTAACGTATTAGCTCTCCACAAATATTTGATAATTAAAAGATCCCATACCTTTGCGAAACCGAACACAAGCATTCAACAAACAACCACTGACAATAAAATAATTAATTATACTAAAAACGACTCACAGTGAAAATTAAAACTTGCGGTCAGGTGACTCTAGAGGTTATATTTCCACAAACAAAAAAAAATGGTGACAACTATTTTATAAATAAACATTCACTATATTTTTTAGGGGACATATCACTAAAATGTAAGTTTTAGAGTAACTACCGAGGTGTTCCGACCACTCGTAAGAGGTGTTTCGATCAATGCAACGTGGCGGAACTAAAGGTGATATTTACATAAATAATGCACATAATATAAAATATTATAAGACATAACATCTTAAGTATTCATTACGTTACATTTTATTTATTACACTATGGCATTGCAACTTTGTGACTCGATTGCGGCTTCACGCGTCGACACCCGTTACAATTCTGTTGAACGCACAGCAACAATCGGCGTTGGAACCAATTATTCAACATCGATACACCGTGCAGTGTTACAATATATCGACTAGCAATGTATCGATAAACACCGAATATCTACAATGCATCATTCGAATAATACATGCAACATGGTAAGAGGATTCAGTAATGATATGCTATCTGACATTATGCAGTATAGGCGTTTTACAGTAGCAATGATAGTCATCATGTAAAGCATAGAAAAGTGATCCGAGACAAGGAAGCACTAAACAAATTGGCTTCGTTTTAATGACGCAATCGCATCACGACGTTACGGTGCGATAATAAAACAAGAGTTTTAACAATGACATAATAGATGTTCATTACATAACATTATATTAGTACGACACAGATTTTACACTAATTTGCACTTTCTTAATAAAACACTCGACGAACGGGTTATAAAGCAATAGTAAGGGAGCCCACGCGGCGATTTTGAGTTCTAATTGGTTGGTAAGCAGTGGTAAGTTTTTTCGGTGGCCTCTGACAACAATACAAGTGCAAGTATCTTATTTGATATATGAGAAAATGTGTATAAAAAAAACGAACGTGACAGCTTGAAATAAGGGGGGCGACCTTGCATCTTGTGAAGTACTCTCACCATAACTTATCGCTTTATATATGTAGTGTCGAAAATATCAGCCTATATAGTCCCCTCTACTGGGGCACAGGCCTTCCCTATGGATGGAATAGGGTAATGATTAGGCCATGACAAACGGCTCAACGTGTCCGCCAAAGCACGGAGGAGCTCGACATAGTAAATTTATGGTCACCCATTCAATGACCGACGAATCCAATGAATGACTGCGAAAGTTGATTAACTTCAACGATCGCAGCTGAACGCGTTATCCACTTGCGCCGTCGAGCCTCAATCAGATTAGTAAAAAAAATATAGTTGGAAAACCTCGACACAACTTGACAAATTTGGCTGATCTCGAAAGGGATATGCTATTTTAAACTATTATAGGTATTCAGTTTAAGGCCGCACTAAAAGAATTCAATAAATCTTTACGTATGAAAAAAGTTGATGCTGTCACGTTCTGTCCAATAGCAATAGAATAGGACAACACGTCACTTTGACAAGCTGCAAATATATTCGTAATTGACGTCTCAATGCAGCCGTATGATTATACGCCCATAACCCGTATTAAGTGTTTTATCAAATTATGCGCACGGTAACATAAAAAGACACATTGTAATTTTAATGTAACACATTTTTTTTAAAACGTCTTGGTATATTTATTTATTCAGAATGACATTACCAGTCTAACTGTCGCACTCGGAGCGGTTAACTAAGTTTCATCAAAGTTGATAAGTTAATCGATTTATTTGAGTAGTTTAACTAAAACATTCAGCTTGGTTGCTCAGTGTCATATAAAGTTTTCGTTAACCGCTGTAAATAGTTAATAGTCAGGTAATGTCACTAAAAAGATTATACATATAAATTGGAACAACTTAATAATAAAGAATAGATAAGTATATCCCTCAAATAACTGTGCATAAAGTACTAAACTCAGGAATAAGTACGGATTATTTTAATAACGCGATCCCAAAACTCTGGCTTTATTCGTTACGCCGCAATGCAGTGTTCAGCAGTGCTATTCTGTAAGAACTAACTCACTTGAAGCTGCGAAATTGGGCGGTGTGATTTTAATTTAATTTGAAACTAGCTGTGCCCCGCGGTGTTACCTGCAGTATATTAAGAATATTTTCCCGCAGTAAAACGTAGCCTATGTGTTAATCCAGGATGTCAGCTAACTCCATACCAAATTTTATGAAAATCGCTCCAGCCGTTTAGACGTGAAGAAGTAACAAACTTACACACTCACAAACTTTCGGCTTTATAATATTAGTGTGAATCATGTTCTAATTTTAAATAACACCACGGATGGCGAGGTAAAAGGTGAGTTTGTTCTTACAGAATTGCACTGCCGATCCGATCCGATAAACTATGGCCGCGCTCGGATCATAGAGGTATAAGAAAAGAGTAGGGGAGATATAGACTCTTCTACAAGTGGAAGTGTCCCTCTAATAGAAAGAGAAAGAAGATGAGAGACCGCTAGCTCTCTCTCTCTCTAATCGCGCATGCGCATTGGCATCCGTAAGCATCTTATCTATTTCGATGTGATGCCATTGGATGTCATGCGTCACAAGAGAGAGAGATAGCTAGCCGTCTCTCATCTTCTTTCTCTTTCTACTAGCACGGACACTTTTAGAGCCGCCTTCCCAGTTTATTCTTATACCTCTATGGCTCGGATACCCTGAAGTAGTCCTTATGCGGCACGTTAATAATGGCCGAAACAGACTTTTGAAACGCGACGCCATTAGACGCCACGCGGCGTGCATTTTCTATGATCAGTGTGTGCGCATTGCGTCACGTCGGATGTTCCTAATGTGATTCTGATCATAGAAATAACAGTGCGACAATGATCTTTATGATTCAGTGAGTGGCAGTTCAGGCAGGGCGCCACCGTCTACGTAAATGACCTACAAAATATGAAGTTTACAAATGACGGCGGCATTAGTTCCAATTTTCGCCACCTTTATAAAGATCCTTGTTGCACTATGGTACATTTGATTTGTCTCAACCATAGAGGTATAAGAATAGAGTAGGGGAGATATAGACTCTACCACAAGTGGAAGTGTCCCTCTAATAGAAAGAGAAAGAAGATGAGAGACCGCTATCGCCGTAAGCATCTTACTATTTCGATGTGATGCTTGAACCTACTATTGAACAGACGACTGCGCATGCGTCAGAAGAGAGAGAGATAGCTAGCGGTCTCTCGTCTTCTTTCTCTTTCTACTATACGGACACTTATAGAGCCGCCTTCCCCACTCTATTCTTATACCTCTATGGTCTCAACAAGCATCGCATGGCTTCGAACGGCGTCGCGTTTCAAAGGTCTATTTCGACCATAAGTGCGGTATTGGTGTGGATGAGTAAATTCTGTCCGCGCTCGGATACCCAGAAGTAGTCCTTATGGCGAACGCAATAAGGTCGGTATTGGTGTGATTGTGGACGGGGGCGGGTGCCGGCGCGAGTTCATCAACAAATAACAAAGTGTGGGGACGCCCGGTGTGAGCCCCTTCCGCTCCATTATACGTCCCTGTATAGACAAACAAATATAGCAGTTAGCATTGGAAAGAAAAAACGAGTGTGCCACACGAATGAAGTGAAACTTCTTTAGCTCCATCAGTATGTATATAAGTATATCGAGTATAAAAAATAATTGAACTACTCCGAAACGGCTCGATCGATTTTCGTGAAATTTTATATGCATATTCAGTAGGTCTGAAAATCGGACAACTTCTACTTTTCATCCCCCTAAATGTTAAGGGTGGTCCACCCTTTTTTTTTAACAAAATTTTTGTTTTTATTTGATTTATGATACATCATAGAAAAATACATACAACCCTAAATTTTCACCCTTCTACCACCATCCCCTATTTTTTTATAGCGGTACGAAGTTCGCTGGGACAGCTAGTATATATATATATAAACGTGTAGGTTTGTACAATATATACATGTATGTACATATACATGTCATAAACATAGTCAATGGAATATGTATATGTACATACATGTATATATTGTAAAATGTGCTCTCAACTCCCGTTCGCCTCGCCCGAACACACTTTTCGTAGAGCGTGCATTGGCCAGCTTACCAACCAGGCAAGCGTGCGTAAAGAAGTTTCACTTCAAAAATATTAAAGTAACAACACTTTCATATCGTGAAATTATTGTTTTTCTTATAGCAGACGCGAAGATAGCTGGTGCAGCAGTTATGAACTGCTGCACGAACCATCTTCAGCTGCTACTTGAGGAGCCGCAATCGGAGAGTAATTATTCTCATTTAATTACATGCTCTTTTGTAAAACTGGATTGTATTTATAAATACTGTGATAGATACTACTTAAATTATAGACCTTGTAAAAATGCCTTGTAATAAACTAAATATAAAACAATAAGATATAACCAATTACGATTGCAAACATTATGAAACATTAAGTCTTACAAATGGGGTTGTGATAAGAGTCTTATGAAAAATGAGAATTTGTGTAAGAAATAGAAGCTGACATGTAAAATGAGTTGTAATTCATAAAAATTACTGAATAATCATGCTTTTTATTTCGTAAAATGACATAATAACTTGTAGGATAAATTCCATACATTTTTTTTAATAAACCTATCAGAAAGTTGCGAAAGTAGAGTGAAAATATCTTTATACAAACAGTTAAATAGCCACTTTAACCAGATAACAGCTTATTCAAGTTTAAATATTTATTTTTATGGACTGGCATGCCTTATACATAAAACATATACAGTAAAAAAAATATACAAGACATGAAAAAAATTAATAAACATAAAATGAGAACAAAAAAAAAAGGTTACTTTTAAGTAAAACATTCATACCCAATATTTCTTCAACTGTAAACTTTTCGACAGTAGGTCAACTCTATCACCAATTACCTAAATAATAATATCCTTAAATATCTTCATCGACTTTTCTTATAACTCTGTCTGTACGATTCTTAATCGATTTACAACCAGTTTCAATAATCAAACTCCAAAAAAGGCAGGGCTAAAGGCCTGATAGAGAATTTAATCTAAATATAAAAAATATCTAGGGTACAGTGCCTAAATATTTATAATTTTTTACAATATAGTAACAACTGTAGTAAAAAATGAAACCAAAAATTAGCTTACTTTTACTGGAGGTTTAATATGAAACTGGCAGTAAGAAAGTTTATAATTTTGTGCTGTACAATCCTTCACCGAGTAAGCAAATAATAATCTTAAAATTGTAACAATTGCTAGTTTATGAATACCCTAAAGTCCATTTGCAGCAATTTTTCTGAATCTCAATATAACTAAAACTAGATAAAGCTCATTAAATAATGTTATTTGACATTTTTCTATGGGTTAAATCTAGTAATTGAATCGAGATTAAGCAAATTTGCTGCAAGTAAGTTTGAAAGTTCGATCCGAAAATTAAAAATCTGCCTTTAATTCCATAAAAAAAGTACTAGTGAAATCTCTAAGGCCCACTGGCAGCAAATGAGATGTTTTTTTCAAATATTATTACAATTAAGTACACTACATTTCATAAAATTTGGTGTCTGCTGGAGACTCACTACCACCGTCCATACAAATTTGAACCATGTCCTTTGCTAAATCTCGATTCAAATAAAACTAGATTAATTCCATAGGAATAAAAAATGGTAAAACGTCAGTGTCATTTTGATATAATTGTATAGGCTAAATCTCATTTTAGTAAAATTGCGATTTAGAACAAGTGGACCCAGAAGTTTAATCCGAAAATTGAAGAACCAGCCCTCAATCAATGTTAGTAAAAAACAATAATATTAAGTATCATCGGTGGCGGATTTGCAGTCTCGGCAGCTCTAGCCTCCAAGCCATCAGCCGCCCCTTTCTCAGCATTAACCATAGACTACATAATGCAATAACTTTATTGACTACTTTTATCTAAATAGATTTAGAAATTTAGGAAAAAATAGTTTTTTTTCTCAAGAATAAGTTGTTACAACTAGTTATTCGCTCTAACATACTCTGCCAACTTGGCATACTTGGTTATGATAACTTTTACACAAGTGTTATCAACTTTTAACACCTAATTGCGAGTTAAATATTTGAATATCTAATTAAACACAATTAATTTGTATGAAGCTATACTTGTTATCGTAAGTACGGGTAAAAGTAACTAAAACTTTACTAGAATAAATAATAATAGCTGCTAATTTCTAATATATAACGATGTTTTAGGAATAATTGCATATTTAAACGGTTTAGGTTTTATTTATTTAACTACTGGTTAAGAGTACAAGATAAGACATAATAAGTGTTATACAATGTGTTACAAAACTCGCCTGCACTTTAGTGCAACAAAATTAATGTCCTTAAAAATCAACTTCTATGTTAAGCAAAGCAAGATCGTTTATTCTTTGGTTCGTCATTGTCGTCGTAAAAATTTTTTTACTCGTCGTAAATAAGAAAATGATCGTTCTCCAGAACAGTTGCTGGCGGGAGTACAACACATCATACGAAGAGCAATATGCACGCATCATACGAAGAGCAATATGCACGCATCATACAAAGAGCAATATGCACGTTTGGGTAAATATGCTTTGAAGACTTTCAGTTCGTAACCATTTCAACAAACTGATAGCACTGTCCCGATCTTAATTTTCTTATAGTGAGCACGAAAATGGTCCCATTTTCTGAAAAATCTCCTTTTAAGTCAGTAGACTAAATGCTTTGGCCTTTTCTTTGATTTCTGACGCACTTAATTTTGTCAGATTAGGTTGTCGATTGGGGCCGCCCCTAAATCTAGCCGCCCTAGGCCCGGGCCTACCGGGCCTTAGAGTAAATCCGCCACTGAGTATCATGCTGTGCAACAATTCCTTGGTTATCTAGAAGGTTCAAGTTTTCGTTAAGTTTTCTCTAAAAGTTTAATGCCGCAAAATGGGCCCTTAATCCCATAAAAGAAAATCATTATTAATATACTATTATAAAAAAAAAAATATTAAGACTGCCTGTGCGCGAAAGCAATATATTAGTGATCATATTAGTAGGAGGGCAGGCCAATAACAGTGGTGGTACAGTACCTACCTCATCCACTGCTGCGAGTTGTGCGCGGGCGCAGCCGGCTGGTGCGATTGCGTCGCCACCCTTTGCACTACCTAAAATTATATCAAGAAAATAAAATAAAAAAAACATATGAAAACAATTAGTAAGCCTAAAACTATCTACGATTATAATAAGAAAATATTTCAAAAGTTCCGGATAATTCACAACAATCATATTAGTAACATACTAGCTGTGCCTCGTGGTGTTACCCGCGGTTTATTAGGGATATTTTCCCGCAGTTAAACGTAGCCTATGGGTATCAGCTATTTCCATACCAAATTTATTTAAAATCGCTCCAGCCATTTAGACGTGAAGAAGTAACAAACACACACTCACAAAATTTCGCCTTTATAATATTAGTGTGATTTTGTCCCAAACTATGCAGTGCTTATACCTATGGTATATTAACACCATTTTTTAAACGGGTATGAAGCGCACACAAACCAATTAGCCTAGCCAAGAAAGCACTGTAAGGCTTGTGTTATGGGATTATATACAGTAGAACCCGTTTAATACGATTAAGCTTAATACGATTTCTCGCATAAGACGCCATTTTGCGTCAGTCCCTGCAACTTAGACAGTCATTTCTTGACACTTAATACGATTCGTCATCCCGTTTAATACGCCTAAATCGCCAACACGTACCACACATATTACCTCTTGAAGCAGCTTATAATTCAATGAGAATGTGAATAACACACAAGAAGAGGCCCTAAGTGATAATGATCAAGTAGAAGATGAGTCGACTCCGATTTTGTCTTCTTTGAATCAAAGCGAAGACGCACTGCAAAAGTTAAATTATGTTGAAAATCTTGCAATTGCTAATGCCTCAAAAATTTTTTGACCAACTAAAATAAGTGATTAATTTAAATAACGTGATAATAAATAATAATACACAAAAAAATCTGAAATATAGTACCTACATACAAATTCGAAATGTCCCTATCCCGCAATCCCGCTTAAGACGCGTTTTTGGTTGAGTCCCTGTGAAATCATCTTAAACGGGTTTTACTGTATATTGTCACAAACGCTTTCGAAACAAAACCGCGAAAATACTAAAGACCGAATTTACCAGAATACCGCGGATCGCGATAAAGATCAAGTGGTGCGGCTCATTCTAATATGAGCCTTATGCAGTACTGCGTAAGGGAGAAAGTGCAACAATATCTGCACTTGTTTACAATTTATGCGCGTTACTTAGTAAGTATAAGTAGGTACTACGCACTTGCGGATGCTAGTTAACTTTCAATTTAACGGGTATTTTCTAGAATCGAGTCGGATGGCGTATATAAGCGCGATCGGCGCCGCGCAGAGACAGTTGAGTTTCAACAGCGATTTCGGAACGAATACAAAGGCGATCAAAGTGCAAGTAAAGTGTTCAAGAGCGATTGTTCAAAGACTTGTATAGTGAAGTACAGTGTTTAGTGAGTGTATTGTGATTACCATTGTGTGTTAACTGTGTGGTGAATAAAGTACAGTCTAGCGTGAACTCGCATATAATTTCGAACCCCATCCCGACACGTAACAATATTATAAACATCCATGACTTAGGTACAAATGCATGTATTCATCACAGAAGCATTTGCCCTACCGGGATTTGAACCGCAGACCTAAGAGTAGGCGACACTTTGAAAACCGGCGGTACACCACACTAGTCATGGAGGTCGTCGACATTATTGGGCTGATGATGATAAAACGTCTATGATCTGGGTTTTTTAAGAGTGTGTATGCTTTTGGTCGCAGATGACCTTTGCAGCGTCACCGGGTTTGGGGCCGGCGAGATCCTTAGGGGACCACAAGCCGAGAATTGGCGAGTGCCTCTAGAGGTATTCCAGGCGGATGGCATCTCCGCACGGGGTTAGTCTCCTCTCCGTCTGAAGCCTCTAGACCACTCGAACCTGAGGGGGTCGGCACAACTAGAGGGCGTCTCTGAGACTCGGACCTCGGCTCTAGTTAGCCGTTGTCGTGGGGGGCGGGGTGATCTGGGAACAAATGTAAGCTAACACAACAGATACCTGCTGCACAAAGGCGCGCGTGAGATGCGGCGCGGCGCGCTCTGCGTGCTCGAAGGCGCGGCGCAGCTCCTCCACCGCCGCCGCGCTGCCAGCGCCGTGCTTGCGGGACAACTGGCGACCACACAAATAAATAAATAAATATTTCCAACACTCGCACCAATTAGCCTAGCCCCAAAGTAAGCACTAAAAGGCTTGTGTTATGGGATACTAGGGTAACGGATAGAATACATATACTTTACATATATAAGTATATTTATGTAGAAAATATATTAAACATCCATGACTGGAGTACAAATGCTCGTGTTCATCACACAAACATCTGCCCCCACCAGGATTCGAACCCGGGACCTCTCGAGTCGGCGACGCGGCGACGCCATGAAACCCGGCGGCGGAGCTCGATGATACGGGTGGTTAGCGCGTACGGCTGCGATCGTTGAAGTTAAGCAAACTTTCGTAGTGGTCGGTCATTGGATGGGTCACCAAAAATCTTCTATCTTCAGCTCCTCCGTGCTTCGGAAGGCACGTTAAGCCGTTGGTCCCGGCTGCATCTGCAGTCGTTAGCACCCGCCAATCCGCACTGGGCCCGCGTGGTGGGTCACGGCCCAATCTCCCTATTCCATCCATAGGGAAGTCCTGTGCCCCAGCAGTGGGGACATTAATAGGCTGATGATGATGATGAAATCGTTGTTTTTTTTATTTTTTAAGCATTCAACTGCTAGATGTTTAAATGTAAAGAAAATTTTACTAGAAAAAAGTCCCGTCTGCTGCCTGGTCCGCGTGGTTTTTTTTCCAGTAATCTTTCTTTAGATTTAAATGACAAAATCTTTAACTGGAGGTGCTTTGTGGCTTCAACCGTGTTAATTTAAGGAAAACTGTTATTAAATAAAAATAAAACTTTTAGTCTGTTTAGGCATTTACAAGCACACGTGAATTGCGATTGGTAGGCTACTTGTTTTTATACGTTAATGATTTTGCCGTCGAAATACCCGGGCGTGTTTTCTTTTTGCGTTTTCTTTAACGCGCGACCACATATGACGATGGTGGCTCCCCTGCGAGTCAACTCGTGACAGGTATGGAACTACACAGCTTAGTAATATTTAATGAACAGAATTTTTATTGACTAATGTTATAAGTTATTCACCTCATTCAGTAGTGGATAAATTAGTTGCTGCAAGTATGGGTGCCTTCTGACTTTGTTCTCTTCTGTGTTATTAGATCCTCTGTGGTCCAAAGGTGACGCCTGAAACAAAATTACATTATAATTACTTTTACTATAAATTACGCGTCACACCGTTATTGCTTATATAACCTTTGGCAACCCCTTATTGAATTTTGAAGAACTGCCATCTAGCGCCATTATGACGAAAATACGTTAGTATTTCAATTTATAAAAGAAAACATTATTAAACTCTGTTAGAAAAAAACATATTAACGGTGATATCGTTGATACGTAGATACGTTGATCTAGATTGTAATCTAAATTTAATATTTTAAGTATTACAGAAAATGATAATGAGGATCATTACTACGTCAGAAAATCAACTCATAATCAATAGTATTATGATCTTATATAATGAATATACTTTTTAAATCATCGAAATCGATTTATTCGTTGCGATTTTTTAACTAATTATATGGTAGCCAATATGCACCGGCGGCCGAAACGTGTCACGTCACAGAGCTCGATCGTGGTGCACTCCGGTCGAGCGCTAGAGCTCTGTGACGTCACAGCCACCACGCGGCCAGCCGCCAATTCGTTCAGTAATTTAGTCATAACTTCGTCAATATTTGTTGTTGAACAAAGATTTTGTCTTTATTGGAATCCTTAGCTCTACAAATCTGCATTCTCATTTTCTGTACAAACATCACACTATTTAGCTTTTCTAAATGTAAGACTATTTCACTCATGCCAATAAAAACACGAATCGAAAATTGAGACGTAAGAGACATTCTGTCCCTCTCTCACTTTATTCCTGATCCTGACAGAATAAATGAGGGAGACAGAATGCCTCGACTTTTTATTTGTGATTCTTTTTAAGGTGTAAAGAGTGATTCAAACTTTGTCGTTTATAAGGTTAGCAGCGGGTTCAGTTATGCAAGGATACACAGTTCAATACACTATTCTACGTTACCTGAGCAGCTACTTGCGCGAACTTCACAGCCGTCATTAAGGCTGCATTTTCACTAGAGATGTGCGATGATATGTAGCGAGAGATTTATTTGTAAACAACCAATAGAAACGCTTCATTTACCTCGACTTGGTCAACAGAGCTCTAGTGGAAACGGCTTAGCGGGGCAAGGTTTTTGTACATACAAAACAAGCGAGGGATGTGACCAAGGGATGTGTTCTATCGATTGTATCACCCTTAAAAACAGCCCGCGACCTTTGGTGGAAACACCCACGCCGTCTCACAAGCTTCATTACACAACCTCAGACCACTCATTTTCTTAGCACTTATCTGACGGAAACGCAGCCTAAAGCTAGAATTAGACGGTCAAAAATGAACAGTCTTTCATTATCGATGCTACATCGATGAAAAACCGAAAGTGTGCCTTCGCGATGAAATCTTCCGGCTACCGAATGTTTTTACTTGCATCGATCATGCATCATCATTCATCGGCAATGAACTACAAGTGAAACGTATAAACAGCTACAGCTAATTCCCAGTTTATTTTTCTGAGTGTCTTAGTATTTATTCTTTAATTAAATAACTCGACTCGATGTTCACGCGGGAATTTCACAAAGAATGGAATATAAACTTTCATCAAAAATTATGCGTCAATACAAACTATGCATTTCACTGTTCATAATTCACAAATCATTGCAATAATGAGTCACTTTTGATGAACTGTCTAATTCCGCCTTAGGACTCAACTCACACTGGCGCAGAGCTGAAACGTCACTTCACGTACTGAAAAATATTGCTTTATTCGCATTCGTGGATGTGAAGTTTGTGTATGTTTCTTTATTGGCGCGTGTGAAATGTGTTCATGTCTATAATAATGTGACATTATGAAAAATAAAGTACCATTTGTTGGCATCTGCATTCAATATGAATATTAGAAGCGATTTTACTATTCCAAGTGAACAAATAATATAATTAATAACATTTCTAAAAAAAACTTTATACTTATAGAAATATTTTTTTTGTTCTATGTTCACTTGATCGAAAACACCTGGGATTGGCGAAGACTAAAATGACGTCACACATAAGTAAACTACCGATCAGTGACATCACAATGTCACGTTAGAAGTTTTAATGACAGTCGTGTGACGTCACAGACCAGTGAGACGCCATAATGTCCAGAGATACGTTTTCGCGGCAATTTCAGAATTGAATTTTTGATCTAGCTTTTTACTGAAATACACAACAGATTGATATAATCCTTTTTATGGACTCCATAAACATTAGTAAATAGAAAATGAGGATCTGTAACGATTTTAGTTGAGAATGCAGATTTGTAGAGCTAAGAATTCCATTAAATACAGTGGTTAAATCTTTGTTCTACGACAAATATTGAAGATCGTTTTCTAAGAGTTGTCAAACACTCTATTAAAGTGTTTTTGTAAGAGTTGAAATTTCAATTGTGACTATATTAATAATAGTCTATTTACTTACCGCTTTATTATTATATACTACAGTGTCGCGATTGGAGGGCGTGTGCTCTGGCCTCTCCTTCCTATCGTCGCCTCGGTTTCGGTCCCGCTCCTACATATAGCACAATGTAATGTTGAATGATTGTAGGAAAGTTACAAACTATACTCTATTCAACTTTCTTTGAGCCAAAAGGTAAACAGACCATATAATTTTTTTCAATAGGTTGAATTTTATACACATAAAAAATCATAATTGAAAAAAGTGACATTAAAAAGAAACTACCTATTCCCAAACTTTGAACGCATTATAATACTACTAAATTAAATAGTAGTGAAAAAGCAAATAATTTACATTAAAATGTAAAATTTTGTAATCAGTCTGGTTATACCGGCCATCTTTTTACACTCGATAAAAAAGTTTTAGAAACCTTGGTTCATTTGTTTACTTTTTAGATCAAAGGAAGTTGAATAGAGTGTAACTATTCTTCATGAAAAACTATTTAAACTCGCGGCAATAAAGAAACGAACCATAAAGACATTCTGTCCCTTTCGCACATTATTCAACATTTTCGTTGTTCTTTAATCGCATTCGCGAGTGTCAAGCTTGTGCATGTTTTTTAAAATGCCGAAAAGAAGTATGTACTTGTGAAAAAGAGACTTTAAATAATAGACAGAGGCTCAAGCACGAATTTTGACAGGCCCGTAATCGTATCGCATCGACAAATTTGTATGGAAACACTGCTTAGTTTTCATAGAAACTTCATAATAATAAGATCTTCCTTATCGAATCAGATGTTCCTTAACAATGCAATAAGATAGGTATATTTTTCTCATTTCAATTCAAGACGTCTAAATCTGAACTAAATAATTGATTTATCTGTATTTTAGACATCAGCGCTTTTCCATATTAAAGTATATTACTCCCTCATTGCATGTGAATGGATGTGTGTAAATAACTTTGGCGATGCGATAAGATTCGTACTGAGACCTCTCGTTACTTACCGCTTTATTATTATATACTACAGTGTCGCGATTGGAGGGCGTGTGCTCCGGCCTCTCCTTCCTGTCGTCGCCTCGATCCCGGTCCCGTTCTCGATCTCGTTCTCGTTCCCGTTCCCGTTCTCGATCTCGTTCCCGCTCACGTTCTCGCTCTCGCTCCCTCTCCTTAGCGCTTCTCTGCTCCACGACGGGTGTTGATACGTTCGACGATTGTCGTGGCTAAAATGACAGTTAATATATTTGTCAATATAGCGAAATCGTTTCGAATGTGTATCAGTAAATTATACACACTTGTGTTGCGGCCACTAGAAAGCAGTGTTTTGTTGATGTAAAAGAACTGTTATAGTTATCAAAATAATGCTATCAATTTAACCTTAATTATTTCATAAATTCTCGGCAAGATAGCAGTGAGCTTCTATCAATGGTCAAAATGCATGCAGTTTGTTGTTTGTTTGTTTTTTGTAAAGTAGAGGTTACTGCGACAGGCGGGTGCTATTTCTAATAATACTTAATATAAACTAATTTAATAGAAAATATTTTTGATATTCAAATGCATGGTCGGTAATATAGTCGTCTCTTTTCCTCGCGGTATGTACCTGCTATTTTGCTAACAACGCATTCAGAATTGCGCGTAGAGACAAAGAAATAAGGTCTATATTCTTCCGCGTACACCAATAAGTCGTAAAATTTTACGAGCTTGCATTTCGAACTGTCGTTACTCTTTGACGCATGCGTTTTAATTAAGACTTTACACAATATGCATTAAAGGTGACTTTCAATGTTTAAATAATGCCTTATTATACTGTTCTTGACTACGCGATCATCTTACGGAGCTCCGTGGATCGTCCTAAGTACCTTTTGGACAGGTTTCGGGCACAATTTTGTTCGTGTTGGTGTATCCATGGTATTTAATATCGTTGCGCGCGTCACGCCACGTTCTGTACCACGATAGACAATGTACATAGAGTGCGGGCGATAGTTACTGGCTGGGGCGCGGCGTTGTTGTTGTTAGGCGCGGGCTGTACGGGTGCCGTCTCGGGCGACGGTGAGTCTCGCGTCACGCCTCGTTCTGTACCGCGATAGACAGTGTACATTACATAGAGTGCGGGCGATAGTTACTGGCTGGGGCGCGGCGTTGTTGTTGTTAGGCGCGGGCTGTACGGGCGCCGTCTCGGGCGGCGGTGAGTCGCGCGTCACGCCGCGTTCTGTACCGCCATAGACAGTGTACATTACATAGAGTGCGGGCGATAGTTACTGGCTGGGGCGCGGCGTTGTTGTTGTTAGGCGCGGGCTGTACGGGTGCCGTCTCGGGCGACGGTGAGTCTCGCGTCACGCCTCGTTCTGTACCGCGATAGACAGTGTACATTACATAGAGTGCGGGCGATAGTTACTGGCTGGGGCGCGGCGTTGTTGTTGTTAGGCGCGGGCTGTACGGGCGCCGTCTCGGGCGGCGGTGAGTCGCGCGTCACGCCGCGTTCTGTACCGCCATAGACAGTGTACATTACATAGAGTGCGGGCGATAGTTACTGGCTGGGGCGCGGGTTGTTGTTGTTAGGCGCGGGCTGTACGGGCGCCGTCTCCGGCGGCGGTGAGTCTCGCGTCACGCCGCGTTCTGTACCGCGATAGACAGTGTACATTACATAGAGTGCGGGCGATAGTTACTGGCTGGGGCGCGGCGTTGTTGTTGTTAGGCGCGGGCTGTACGGGCGCCGTCTCGGGCGGCGGTGAGTCTCGCGTCACGCCGCGTTCTGTACCGCCATAGACAGTGTACATTACATAGAGTGCGGGCGATAGTTACTGGCTGGGGCGCGGCGTTGTTGTTGTTAGGCGCGGGCTGTACGGGCGCCGTCTCGGGCGGCGGTGAGTCGCGCGTCACGCCTCCGTTCTGCTTCGCTCCCGGCGACACCGCTCGGCCTACCACCACTGTAAAATAATAAATACATGAAATATGTATTTATTTCAAGAAAAAATATACACAAACTAAATATAAAAAAAACGGTATTTGTAATCTCATTTTTAAAGCTACGCTGCATACTAGCTAACTTGAGCCCTATTCCCAAATTCTTTGAAAGCTGCAACAATCTTCATCACTGGAAAGTAATAACGCTGTAGTATAGTGCTATTTGGTACTTACAAGGCGGAAGCAACATTTCCTACAACAGGTCAGTTTTTAATAGCTAATTGACTTAAAAAAACGAGGTGACTATTCTTTCGCAAATCCGCAGATAATATCTTCCCAGCATTTAAAAAGGGTACTGTAGTTATGAGAGTTTAGTGTGTGATAGTGTAGCGGGTGATGGTATAGTGTGTAATCGCGTAGTGTGTGGTGGTGAAAAGTGTTGACGTTTGGTGTAATTGCAATATAGTTACCGTTGTCGGGTACTGGCTGGCGACGCTTATTGTCTTCTGCAGCGTGCAGCGCTCGAGCGGCCGCTCCTCCGCGCACCGTCATGATCCACGGCTCGTCCGCCTCGCCGTCGCCGCCGCGGCACTCCTCACTACCGAGCATTGGACATAATACAACACACAATATACATGTTTTTCTATGGTGCGATTCTTAATGGCTTAATTGCGGTCAGTGAGCGCCATTCACGGTGCAGAAACGAAATTTTTAACGACCTCCGTGGCTGAGTAGTACGTATGTACGCCGGGTTTCAAGATATCGCCTACTCGTGAGCTCCCAGGTTCGAATCCCGGTGGAGCAAATGTTAGTATGATGAATACGAGAATTTTTAACTAAGTCATGGATGTTATATGTATTTCTACAAAAAATATCCTTATATATGTATCAGTATATTTATTCTATCCGTTACCCTAGTATCCCATAAAACAAGTGAGAGCGTATAAATTTTCTTCAAGCCGATACAGATTTGTGCTTTAAGCGGCATGTCACCTATAGACATAGAGAATGGATTGACTTCTGCTTTAAAGTCAGCTTTAAGATAAATTCGAACGCGAGGTCGAGACCTGTCTACTCGATCGCAGCGCCTCTTTCACGCTTGTTTCTTTTCTAGAGTCTAGAAAAATACAAAGTAATTTAATGCGGCCAAGAGGTAAAGTGTGAAAGAGTCTCTAGAATCTAGAGACTGATGAACTTCAGCAAGTGTTCTCTTAAGTCCAGGATCTCTTATCTATTAGACAAGTCCGTCCGTCTGTGGTGCTGTTTCAGCGGCCAAACCGTAAGAGATAGATAAAGAGAATATTTAAGTTGTAAGTTAAGAATAGTCTGATAAGACTACAAACCGGATTTGAGTAACGTAGCACTTCCGGTTTTCGAGAAATCACGAATTTCAAACGAAACCACACAAAATCTCCGAAGTTCTCAATTAATTAAATACATTTTTTTTAAATCAGGTTTTGGTGAACATTTGGTTCACTGGTTTGCTAGTTTAGATATAATGGCGGTAGTGAAGTTGGCGCAAGTCGCGGCGCAGCATACGAAAAGGATAATGTATGTGCGCGCGCGAGGTGTCACTAAAACTGAACATGCCGGCTACAAAGTTTGAATCACTCTATCATTTAACGAATGTTAAAAATAAACTTATCAACTCGTGTGTTTGTAAAATGTCAGATAAAGAACTCCACTTGTGTTCATAGTTATATCACAGACCTCAGACATTTTCATTGAAAAGAGAAGAATAAATGCGCCAGCAAAATTTTGCCACTGATTTAATAAGTCTATCAACTAACAGAAAGACAATAAAAAAAATATACCAGAAAATTTAATGTCTTTAAGTAAATGAAAAGAATACTCATGCATGAAATTAGACACGTCAAAGCTGATTTGTCAAGTCTCAGCAAGAGAAACTCGAGACAGCAAACGTGGGTAATCATTAAAAAACACGCCGCGGGAATTAAACAACATTTGCGCGTTTTGCACGATTCCTGCGAGACCCACCGCCGCACCGTAAATGGTACTCCCGGTATAATCATACCGTTAATGATGGAAATGGAAAATAAATGCCGGTTTGTTACATGAAATTGTTGCGGGTGAAATAACTCACGGCAACACGAGTGCTGAAATAACAATAGCAGGTAGACGAGTTTGCACGGTTAGTGGACCATGGCTCTTTGTATTTTACTTGGCAAACGTATTTTTATGATTTCATATATTTTCTAAAATAATACGACCCACTTTTTATTGCCGCCAACCCTGAGGCCCACGAGCACAGCACGAATTTGGACAGCTCCGTAATCGTATCGAATCAACAGTTTCTATGAAAACTAAGCAGCGCCCTCTATCGGACGTAAGAACTAACTTTTTCCGTACCAAGGAGAATGCCCATCGTAGTATGGACTGTAGTATCGCTACTAAAAATTTTATACAATGATGATTTTTACCTCATATTGCTAAGCACGTAGCCCAAGCACTACGTCCTGGTACACTACATCTGGGGTAAATTAGGTCTAACATGCTCTCTGGAAACAACAGTCGAGAGAGTTTTGCCATTTTAAAGGACAAAGGTTCTAATAGATTTTTTTTTCTGATAAAAGTTTTTATATATTATTTTTTTTTAAAAAACGTAATTGAAATTAAACAAACAATACTTACGAATCTGAATTCTCGGATTCTGTTTCGCTCTCCTCGCTCCGCTGCGACTTCCATTTCTTATACCTATCTATAAGATCCATTAAATACGAATTCTTCTTGGCCTTCCTGATGAATTGGAACTTAAGTAACTCCTTTGCCGTTGGTCTCTGGAATAATAGATATGGAAAATATTGTATTAAATACAAGTGGCCCGTCCTCGCTTTGCTTCGGTGTAGAGCTGTAGTGTAGACTATAGTTTTTGTTTTCAGGCTTGTACTATCCTCAATGAATTTTCCTTATATTATAAACCTTCCATGACTTAACTAATTTAACTGATAGTGAAAATTTTGTAGAGGAGCTCGATGGCGCAAGTGGTTATCGCGTTCGGCTGCGATCGTTGAAGTTAAGCAACTTTCGCAGTGGTCGGTCATTGGATGGGTGACCAAAAATTTACTATCTGGAGCTCCTCCGTGCTTCGGAAGGCCCGTTGGTCCCTGCTACATTTGCAGTCGTTAGCACCTACTAATACGCACTGGGCCCGCGTGGTGGGTCATGCCCCAATCTCCCTATTTCATCCTTAGGTAAGGCCTGTGCCTCAGCAGTGAGGACTTTAATAGGCTGATGATAATGAAAACTTTTGTTGCTCCAAGTTAGTTATCATTATTATGATAATGATAACTAAGACCCATCAGCAACCCCGATATATGCATCGCGGTTTCCGACGGGTCTAAGCCGTCCTCAACTTTAATTAAGGCGTCACGTCACCTCACGGCGTAACGAATATGAAACGATCTAGTGAGAAACTGTATCGTTTCATTTTCGTTTCAGTACCGAATCTGTACAGATTCTTCACTTAGTGCATGTAACCAAGTCTTCAAATAATGATTTTATACTGAATTAGAGTTCAAATTGGAACACCCACCCCGTATAAAAGATTGTCGATAATACGACGTTGATGCTCAAGTTTGACAATAAACACGTCGGGCGGAGTAATTTGTTAGGCTTTTCATAAATACAGCTGACGTATATAATTAACATTATACTGTTGCATCTCTTATAATCTGTCACCAAGTAAGGCAAATTGCGTAAAGATGATTGATAGAATAAAAGTAACTGAAATTATGTAAGTATGAAACATTTTTAACAGTTCTGGTTCAACTATAGGCAAACGAAAAGGTACTTACATAACTGGTACAAATATAACAAAAGTAAGTAAACATATATAAATATGAAATAGGCTTCAAAACAACAGTTGAAAGATAATACCGACGAAACAAACGAAGCCAAAAGAAAAATGTTAGCTAATAATCGTACAAAAGATGATGAAGGTTAAGAGTTAATTATTTGATAATGTGATTCGGATTTTTCTATACTAATAAAGAGGAAAGATTTGATTGTTTGTAGCCTACCCTCGCGGCACAAAAACATACCGAATAAATATTCAGAAATGCCCAAAAACCATTACTCAGCGCAACCTGCGACCCGAATAGGTACCGTGTAATCCCATCCATAGAAAGCCCACCGCCATCCATCTATCGGAGGGCCCTATATGATCTACACCGGGCACACATACCTCTCTCGGCCCTTGATCGAGTGATTTGGATTTTTCTTTTCACGTCTGAATGATGAATTTGAAAAACTAAAGTCTTTGTGTGCGAATGCGAAAGAACTTTTCTTAAAAAAAATAGCGATAAATCTTTTTCCGTGCATAAAAGAATAGATATTGGAATGTAATAGAGTTAACTTGAAAAAAAATATAAGTACTCCTATATATACCGACAATATTAGGCAAGCAAATGAGATTAGCATATCATATTGAGCGTACCAAAACTTTCAAGCACATAACAATAGAACTTACATTGTCTGGGTCCTTATTGAGACACGCCTCGACGAACTCTTTGAACGGCTTGGAGTAGCTCCCGGTTAGTTGCGGGGGGTTATTCTTAGGTATTAGGAAAAGTACCCTCATGGGGTGTAATTCTGAGTTGGGCGGTTCGCCTTTGGCTAATTCGATGGCGGTGATACCCAGGGACCAGATATCCGCCTTGCTGTCGTAACACGACTGCTTGATCACTTCGGGTGCCATCCAAAACGGCGTACCGACGAATGTGTTGCGTTTGCTAGTCGTGTTTGTCAGTTGGCCCGCGACACCTGAAAATACAATTAAAAAAATCCTTTAAAGCTCTCGTGGTAAGTTATCTTTTAGGATTACTAGAATTATGCAAGTACTCTTTACATTGTTTCAGACGGAGTTCATAAAGTGCTTACTTCATGCTCGCAAGAATTTAATTAAAATTTACTTTCTCATTTGCTTTGAATAAAAGATGTGTTATACGTAAAGTTATTTTCATTTTCTACTAAGAAAATACAAAGGAGATGCGCTCGTGGAATATTACGAAACTATCCTAAGAAAGCAAACCCATTGAACCGTACTTTAGATTAGGAGCAGGAATTTTATGCAAAGCATTCACGTAATCCCAGCGAAAATTTAAGGGAACAATTTCTGCACGTTGTTTAGTAAACACAGTTTAAATACTAAAAGGGTAACCGTGTTTGGCTTGATCTTTGCAAAGGCAGAGCAGTGTGCTGTGCAAATATTCATCAAACATTGGCCCGGTGCCAGTGGCCCAGACTAGAGAAGGCTGATCGCCGACGAAATTGTGTGTCGTGTCTGAACTACCAATGACATATATTTCTTAACTAGCTGTGCCCCGCCGTGGTTCCCTTCGGTTTATTAGGGATATTTTCCTGCAGTAAAACGTAGCCTATGTGTTAATCCAGGGTGTCAGCTAACTCCACACAAAATTTTATTAAAATCGCTCCAGCCGTTTAGACGTGAAGAAGTAACAAACATACACACTCACACACCCACAAACTTTCGCCTTTATTATATTAGTGTGATTTATGTTTCTACATAATGTATCTTATAGTCTCCTGTGTATATTATATCATTTCCTATTAGCAAAACAAGTCGTTGAAACCTAAATGGCACTAATCAGTAATATTTTTGCATAATACATAGTGTTGTTGTTCGAAAACACAAGAAGCCGTGTGTAGCCGACCTAAATGCGGGGTTAACTCGCTGTAACGCAGTGTGGGAAGACTTTGATTGGCACGGAGGTGTCGTCGGGCTGTCTCGTGTGTGCGCCACCATAGTTTAATTACGGACTCGTAACTACATACATGTGCCAACTCAAGGCATGCTCGTAAAATTAATACCTACATACTGTCACTATTACTAGCGGGAATTACGAGTGAATAATCAAATACTTGAGACAATTCCTCTAAATGCTATTTTACTATATTCAAACCCTCTAATCTATTACCGATGTTCTACCGGCGGCGTATAATGTCTTGTAGATACCTTGTCTGCAGAAAATGGAAGTAAAATACTTGTATTTATTGTAACTACAAGAAAGAGCAATAGCAACTTCGACATACAAGTAATAAAATACCAGTACAAGTAGAACTGTTAAGTAAGCTGTGGTGTCGGTATCGGTAGAAAGACTGGCTTATTAGAAAATAACACATTGAAAAGGCAACACATGAACTTTAGGAACTTAGTAGCTTACCATCATTGGTGGTTAACGAGACGAAAAGTCTTGCTATGTGTACTTATATGTAAGTATGCATTGAACGCATTTATAAGGAACCATTGTCACATAACATATTGACTGTAGAAAATTAAATACCTATCTGTGCGATGTGATATATCGAGGCGACCGTACGGAATGATACCGGATTCTTTCGCGTCGCACGACCGTGACAGAGATCATTGATTAGATTGCCTTTTTTATTTTTCATGTTCACTCTCCATGCATGGTTTGTTTTATAGCGGCAAGCTCGGAGTCCGTCGATTAGGTTTGAACGCCATATTTCTAATGCCAATATTCCACAGCTATATACGCTTAAATAGCCACACCACTACGCATAGTGAAATCGTTTTAGGGCTCTCCATTGATAAAAACCTCAGAAAGAGCTATGTAGATATAATCACCTTAGTCATTAGTTAGGCATATAATATTGTGATTAAAAGAAGTCTCCTATACAGACATTCCAGAAAATAAGACATCAATAAATAAAGTACTAATATATTAAACAATATATATTTTATTTATCGCAATAGTACAGTGACTACTCCCTGTTCCCTATTGTTACTGGTTAATGAACTAGAAAAATATTGGGACATTCGTTTAAATTTGTTGAATGATAACCTGGTCTACAATTTATAATGACATCCGTTTCATTATAAATCGATCATATCGTTTTTGCTGCTATAACGGTGGGCGACAAAAACAGCGTACATTTTAAATTTGATGAGAATATAAAAATAAATTACTAGTAACTTTCAAAACAAAATTTTAATCAAACCTTTTTATAGTTAGAACTAACACAAAAGTATACTGTAAAACAATGCCCTAGTAATTCTCAGGCTACTATCTAATTGGCATTGTCTAATTATAAGCAATATTTTGCCTCTTACCTTTCATAAATATATTTTTAGAAGTAATTTGTGAATAGGTACTCAAATTCATTAAGTGTCATCTGAAGAAACGTAATATGAAACTAGTTCTAAATTATTTCGAGTAGATGCAAGGTCGTTGAACCAGTTACACGGGTAATTTATATATAATATCCTGCATCTACAAAATGAAAGATTTGCGTTCGATAATATAAGTTTATTAATTATATCTGCTTACGTATAAAGTCTCTACTATCACCTAATTCATGCGATTGTAATTAAAACCAAAGTTAATCAAGTTTAGTAGGAGTGCACCTTGTTATCGTTGGCCGTCGAAGTCGATATAACTTGATATAGATATGGCCACCCGATGTTCTATATTCGATACATGGTCGATCGACCTCGTCGCTAGATCATATCATCAGCTGTGTACATTTAAAGCGAACATCGTCATCAATATGAGCTTTATTCTCGTTTCTTGTGCAAAATTATATTAATACATGAAGGAAAAATTTGTACCCCTCGCCCGCGTACTATTATTTCTATTAAAATTATAAATAACATTAAATTAAAAATACACAAGCGTAAATTGGCAACCCATAAGTTTTTGGTAGTTTCGAGTCTACACTGGTGACTGTACTAAATGATAATAAAAGTATATTTCAATTAACAAATTAAAAAAACAGTTTCGGTCAACAGGTTAGTTAGGTAGGACTATTACTTACGACTTTTTTCATAGTTTCACGCGTATTGTGTGTAGGATATGTTTAAAAATATATACTGCCGAACTAAATTTCCACTTGTAAAGTTAGAAATTAGTGCGTGAACAAATTTAACCTAGATACGTTTGGATTAAGTAATTCTTCTACAGATCAATCAAGTATTACTTAACTTTTATTATTAGACTAAAATAATAATAATTACAAGAAGCCGTCTTATGTAATTCCGCATCTTGAGGTCAGCTATTTTATGTGAAAGTACACGCTAAGTATTGCTTTATGCAACGTAATCGGCAAACTTCTGACAAAGTAAGGAAATATTAACACTAGTTAATAGTAATGTTTTATATCCAGATAGGTACTAGTTAATATTATAACTGAAATATTACAGTAGCTATTTAAGGTATACTATATAGAATGGGAACCTAAAATTGCATCACGCAGATGACAAATGGTTACTATAACATCGAATACTTACGAGTTGACAGTTGCATAATATCGTTCAAAAATAAAACAAACAGACAATCTGCAGTTGACTCACCGAAATCTGCAAGCTTGACGTCGCCCATTTCGCTGAGCAGCACGTTGGCGGCCTTGATGTCTCGGTGCAGCTTCCTCTCCGAGTGGAGGTAGTCCAGACCTCGGAGCACCTCACGCAGTATCACCGCTATGTGCATCTCTTCGAAGCTGCCCGCCTTCATCAAGTCCAACGCGGACCCGCCGCCCAGGTATTCCATTATAATCCATAGCTTTGTTCCCTAAAAAGAGAAACGAGCATGTAATCAAATACAGGAGAGTACGCACCACTGCATGTGGACTGGACCAATCAGTCAAAAATAAGAGCTAAATATATAAATATAAATATCCAATTTCCAAAAAAAAAAATATCCAGAAATGACAATAAAAATATTCAAGAAGTAAAAACTGATCTAGATGGAAATTTAATGGATCTGTGAGGGAAAATCAGGAGTAATAAATAGATTGAGTAACCGCCCAAACCTATTCACATAGATCATAAAACGGCTGTCACAAACCACAAAACGTCCACGATACCGCAACATCTTTGATTACTACCTTTGTATCGTAGAGAATATAATAATTGATACGTTTGTTTAATCACAATCATCAGTCGTTAACAGAAATAAATGATCTATAGGAAATATATATTTCCTGTCCACTGAAACATACTTTACCAGTCTCCGAAATATCAGTATGTTAAACTTATCGGACTTATGAGCAATTATATTTGACGTGCACTAACTCGAATAACACCTTTAGTTCAAACAACAAAAAATCAGTGATTAATTTAAATACAAGAAATATTGAATATGTACTAGTTAATTCCTTTTCCTACAAAAGTCATCACCAATTTCGTTCCAAAAATTTTTTTATTCAGACAAAGGCATAATATTTTTTTTTTTTTCAAAATCGGTTAAGCTATTCACGTGAGAAAACGAGAAAACAAACGGAATGACAGGCGCTGACTATTACTTTCGTAGTAACAATAGTAGTAAGTACGGAATAGATTTTCACCACAAAAATACAGGATTAACGTTGCGAGAAGACTGTTCAGATATTAATTAGGTAATCATTCATCATTATATCTCGCGCCGCCTACAGAAATGTTGAGGCGAATTTGTGATCACGATAAATTAAGAAATACGGTAGACGACCAATGAAATCAAACACAGATCGTGACCAAGTAACAATAACGTTTAGGCGATCTTGCAACGCAACACAGGCATTGGTTTCATTTTTCTACAATAATAACAACGAAATATATTATTAACACTCTAGCTATAAATTGGGTTTCGACATCAGATCATGCATTGTTTGCCGCTGTTATGTTGCAAGAGTATGACGTTCCCTAATCTTTCGAGACATACAAGGCAATCGGCAGAGGATTATCTGTCGTATATCTTACGAGTTGCTCGTCATCTGTGAGAGGGTTACGAGTGTAACCATGTAAGGTAAAGTGCGACAAGGGGCGCACATGCAGAGCTGCAACGCGGAAGAGACAAAGCGAGCAACGGAGCGAGGATCCGGTGTAAGCGGACCATTCACGCTCCATCAGCCGTACACGACTCGAGTGACAGACAGGGCCAACGCAACGGATGACAGATTATGCACGTGGTGATTATCTACGTTACCATTGGGAATGGGACACGTTATTTGTACCGATCAGTGTTCTCGAACCTACCGATTTTTCGGTATTTCTACGATATGGTCTCTATCGTATATTATCGAAATACGGAAATGCAACGATTTTTCCTCTCCCGATTTTACACTTTTAAGTTGGCAGCCCTTTTCATTTATGTTTAAAGTTGCGGGAAATCATTCAACGGTAAGTATGGATGATTAGTTAGTTAATGATAAGGGTGATATATATGAAGTAGCATATCGTGAATCTATCATAAACTATTATTACTTTTACAGCTACAAATAATTATAACACCTCAACAAATTATAAATAAAAATACAACCGTCAATTCATTACAATGCAATTATTGCTGATGATGTGACCACTTGTTTCACGCTTTGTTCGTTCGACCACTCAGATCTCACTAAATACATAACGCAAAATATTATAAATAATAAAAATGACTTCATAAAAACAAAACTGTGTAAGAAATAAAACAATGTTAATTTGACAATTAGTCAAATTAACATTTGGGTCGGTGCCATGCCAATCCAAGCAGTAAACGAACGGTAACTCATGTCTATCAACATGCATGGCAACATGTTTTTATGGTTTTTTATTAACCAGAGTAACATAAACTTAGAATAGGTTACCTGGCCAGCATTATCTCTTTCATATCCCTTAAAGTAACCGAACACTTGAGTACTGTTTCTAATTGAGGAGTTTCATCGTTTTCTCCGAAGTACTGATCAGATCCTCATCAAATTGATATGGGACCATATCGCAAAAAACTATTCATACTAAAATAAAATATGTGCAAACAAAAATAAAAAAAAATATCTACTGGCAAATTAAAAATCTCCTTTTTGGAAAAGGTAATGTAAAAAGAAAGCCCGTAAGTTTATTACAAAAAAAATCAATTCGATATGATTTGTATTTTTTGTCATATATCGATTTAGATAACGAATATACCGATTTTTGAGGGCAGCTCTACCGATTTTGCAAAATTACGTTCGAGACCACTGGTACCGATTTGGAATAAACATTGAGCTTAAGCTTTATAAGCTCTTTTACATTAGGCCATAATCTACAATAAACACTAATGGTGCGATAAATTTGTAGTGGTACACAAGTATATTAACATTAAAGGGGTTTAATATATAAAACACTCGTGTAACAGTGTTTATAAAAAAATATTCGAAACGGCTTGACCGATTCTTATGAAATTTTGAGTGTATATCCAGTAGGCCTGAGAATAGGGCGTTAACTATTTTGACGGTCCAACCCAAAAACATTTATTTTTAGACATTTTTTTATTTCAAAATTAAAATGCAATATCTTTTATTCAGTCTAGGCTGTTACATTCATTCATTCAAGCACTTGTAAATGTCGAAAAGCTACGCCAACGGTTCGCAAATCTACAGCGGGAGATCTTGTACTCAGAAGAACCGGCAAGAAACTCAGTAAGGACTGTTTTTTCTGCCTGTATTATATACAGGCTTCAAATTGAAAAATTACTTCAATATGAGATAACTCATGAAGTCACTTTGTATTACAAATGTAAATGATATAAAAATGACGACTGAAATATAAAAAAAAAACTGATTTAACCAAGTTCAGGAATGCCGCGTCCTACTTTTTCGGTATAAAAAACTTGGATTTGTTATTAAAACATACATAGAACCCTCAATATGCATTAAAAGAGATGGTAAATTGCATTACTACATGGTGTTATTCACTACGGATTCCTCAAGATCCGATCGAGCAATGATGGCAGGCCGAACAATGATTGCGGAAATTACAATAAAATAGTACCGTCTCCGTCCACCATTATTTCTCTTTGATGAGACCTCAGTCTTCGAGAATCATTTCAACAGTGCAGCTAGAAATCACCTATATCTTCCGTACAACCAGGACCACGCCCAAACTTGTTACGCCTATCATTTTTTCCGCGCTATTGACAATTATTTGAATGAAAAAAAAAACTTGATACCGTACGAAAGTTTTTCACACAGTTTAAACTGTCCCAGTTGAATCCCAGGTGGTTCTATCCCCAAACCGGAAAGCACCCCCACAGATTGCTGTGGTTTTATCGTAACGGTTTCTATGATCTTCCAATTAATGTAAAAAAAATAAAGGCAAAGACAGTCAACATTTCAAAAGATTTTCAGTACGAAATGCCAATTTATACTTCAATAATACTCATATATCAATAACGCATCCAACGAGCATTACAATCAATTGATTGATTGGATACTAATAAGTAATATTGTTGTCATTTTAATAGTACGTAAAATGTTAAGGCAAGAAATTATATTCCCGTACGTAGCTCAAAAATATAAACGTGACCGTGGCACAGCCGAACAAATTCTTCGACCGTAAAGATATTTCGGCCTAACAACATCAAACAAAAGATGTGAAGAGGAAAGTAATGAGACCCGGCGAACGATATTCATCAAAAATAAATAGAATGATGTACGTGGAACATAAACATAAATGTGCATATATCACATTAGCATAATAAATAACAAAGGAAGGCTATACGTGAAATCGGGGCCTGCCCTTTTACAAAGTTTTGGGGCAAAGTTACTTTTGACAGCGCTCACGTAATAGCTAATAACAGCGAAACATCCGAAACGTATTCAATGTAATAATAAATCATACTACAGACAAATAATATTTATGACAAAACTGTTACTTTACCTGTGTTTTAGCTATATTCTATAATAAAAAAAACAGAGGGGTATTAAAACACGAATTTGTGGTGGGGACATTAGTGTGTTAATACCTAATTATAACAGTTCCATACAAGATTTTATCTAGACCCATGATATGAATACTCTTTAAAAGATTCTGAATGTATGGGGCGTTCTAAGAACTTTAAATTCATGAAAAGTTTCGGCTGTCCGGTCACTACCGGACAGCGTTTCACTAAACGCGCGTGAATAACATTATTCTTTTTTTTTTAAACGCACGCATCGAGCACTGAAAATGTGACTGTCTGACGAGAGTAAGCCCTTAGCGAGGAAGAGATTTAAAAAGCGAAAGAGTATTATTATAAATTTAATAAAACCATTTAACACATTGGGTGTTCGTTTTTTTTAATTATGATACTGAATGTTTTACTGTTGATATTAAAGCTAACTGTTTCAGAAATCAGATTGGATATGTAGCATGCGAAACCGAATCAAATTAATAATTGCCTAATTTTACTCTAAGGGAATTTTTATTGTCTTTGGATGTAATACCATTGGTATTGCTAATATTTAAACCGACTTCAAGAAGGAGGAGGTTCTTTATTCGTCAGTATCTATTTTTATTGATTTCGCGCATAACTCTGAGATTTAGATGATTATTTTTTTGTTTGAATCAGTTTTTTGGAAAGATGGTCTCATATTAATTTGGTGAAGATCTGCAGTGCTATTCTGTGAAATTGCGGATTTACATAGGATCCGCGCGTGAAAAATTCGTGAAGAAAAATATCGTGACATTTTACAGAATAGCACTGCAGATAACTACTTTCGGAGAAAACAATAAAACTCTTCATTTACAAATAATACTCTTACTAAAGGTACTTAGTTGATGATACTCTGGCTAATAAAAGTGGAAAATAAAATATTTTTTAAACAAAAACAAAATATGTAATCATAAAA